GACGTCAGGACTTCTCTCAGATTGCAGACTTCGTTCAGCTGCGCTGCAGCTTCCTGAAAATCGTTGCCGATGTCATCCGAAGTCTTGCGCAAGATGGAGAGGGCAGGCAGCTTTACCAGCTCAAAAAGAGAGTCTTCGCTGGCCCTGGCTGATTCGGGAATAATCTGATCCTCTGCGCCTACTTTTGTGTCCATGGCTTCATGGGCTTCCCGGATCACCCCTGCGGCCGGTGATGACAATGGTGACTCAGTGTACCTGTGCAGGCAATCATGCAGAAAGCTTCGAACACGTATCTCAGCAGCTGTCTGCAGCAATGGTATCCCATCGGGCAGCATGCGGCCGATGACTTTCAAAAGGTAGCAGCTGCTGAGCAAATTCCGTGAAGCATTCCCGGACGCTTGCTGAATGAGCTTCCGCCCGATAGAAAGAGCCTTCTCTGAAATGCGAGCAGAATGCGAAGTAGAAGACATGTGTGCTCCATTTGACAGACCACGCAGATCGATGGCAAGACCGCGCAACAGAGCTTCTGCTGAGCCGATTCCTGTAGCATCCGTCTCAATAGCCAAGGTGTGAGCAAAAAAGTACCCAGCGCTGAGGCTAGATTCGGGATGTAAGATAACTTCAGAGAAATCTCCGCTGCAATTCCACCACGGCTGTTGGCGCCTCCCTGTGCGACGGAGACACAACTTCCGGCTGTCTTCCAGAAGCTTGTACCAAAGTAAACCCGGTGTCTCCAAAGCATCGAGGAAAGCTGCAGTAAACTGGCCGTGAGACTGGGAATCACTCTCTTCGGCAAGCCGTCCCTCACTGCAGGCAGATACCAGACAGACTTGCGAGTCTATTCTGTGTTCAAAAAACAGCTGCTGCAGCTTCTTCACAAAACTGTCGTCAGCTGCCTCCGACGAGACAATCTCCCTGCAGCAGTCTTGAATGACGACTAGTCGTGTTCCAGGCGCTGGAGAAGCTGAAGCTGACGCAGCTGCAGTCTTGGCTGATAAACACTGGGAGACCATACTGCATAAGGGTTGCAAAAACTCGTTGACAGGCTGGTATGTCGACGGCTTGTCCTTCTCTGCATCTATCGGAATCCAATACGCTATTCCTTGATTGCACACGCCATGCCCGGCATAGTACACGAGTGCTAAAGCGCCCTTCTCTCCGGACAGCTTTTGCATAAACTGCTTGCGAAGAGTCCGGAAATCAGCCTTCTCCGCATCTATGAGGCATAAGACCCTAAACCCACAAAGCGTTTCCAAGGCCCATGCCAGCTTGTCGACGTCTTGACCACAGTACTTAGTGTCTGAAAATCCAAGTACGGAGGATCTCTGTCCAATGAGTAGAGCAAGGCGTCGCTCTGCCATTTGACCCGCATTTACTAAATCCGAATCTCAATCCCTGGGTTTGTTGGGGTTGAAAGAATTTGGCGGCAGGATACCGTGCTCCAGCGACTCGCTCCTAGACTCCAACCTCTTAGGGCCTGGGTTCTGCAAATCCTTCGTCTCGCATTCTTAACTTACTTGTCCAGTATCCTTTCCGGAACTAAAGGTTAACCTTCGGGACTATGTAGGAGTTGTAGTACCCCCAAAAAATTCAGGTTCATTACTGTACTTCTAGGTTAACCATTACCCCCTGACTAATGCGAAGCCACAGGTTCGAGCCACGTATTGCTTGCAAGGGTTAGCGGCTTCGAGGCAAGGGCAGGCTACCCTCCTTGGAACCACGTTACACTTCAGGACTTTTTTTCGTGGTACATGCATGCCGACATCGAGGATGCACGAGAAGTTCGCTTGCCGTACTCGAGCGTTGCACACAACCGCTTCGGAAACAAAGTCAAAGGGCAATGTCGACGCGGGCAACATCCGAGCGTAACCTGAAGGATTGGGACAGAGAGCGCCGGATCTCACTGTTGCGAGGATGTCTCCAAATCAACACCAGAGACAAGGCTGCCCCCAAGGCACCTTTGCCATACAAGTCAGCTTAAGTTTGCTTCGCTCACAAGTTCTGCCATGGGACATCAGCCTTGTGCAGCCAAGATGCAGGCAAATGCCATGACCATGTGTGGCAGTGCGAAGCACTGCGGTCCAAAGCAGGAATGGCTGCCATCAGCATGCCGGTCGTATGACGAACTTCCAAGAATGCTGCCGAAAAGGATGGAAGCGCACCCGTTGCCCACCTCACTGCTCATGATGTTGACTGGTTCTTTGCTCAAGAACTCCTTCAAAACGCCATCTCACATATCACTCTTCACCTGCCCTCTTGATCAAAACAGAAGGCTTCGCAGCCTTTCGGCCTTGGCCTGCGTGCCAGGGCACAGCATCCATGAATGTCCAATTTGCACTGAGTGTGGCATGCCCCCAGCGTGCAGCGCATACATTCACCTGCACCGTTGGGAGGAAAATTTCACGAACACCGACACCCAAAGACCCAAAGCCTAAAACAAACGTGCTTTATGCCAAAAATGAATGACGGAAGGCTGTACTGAAACCAGCCGCGAACAGCATAATGATGCTATACCTCCACGTGACTGCCAAGCACCATGGCACAAACTTTTTCTCCTGCGAGTGCCTTGTGCTGGAGGCACTAATCATTCATGTGAAGCAGGACCACCTGCCGGTACTTCGTGGTTTTCGGACCGCGGTCAGGGCAACTCAGGAGCGTCAGTTCGCGAGAAATGCCACCAATTCTGCATTTCTGTCTTAGCAAGCCGCTGATGACTTACGTGACGTGTGGGGGAGGGCGACCATGCGTGCTCGCAGTTGTTCTGGTCTTGCATGTGGAATATTTTCGATTTGGTGAGCTTTAGCAGAACTAAGGCAAGATTTTTGCCAATGGGGATGGGCCAATGGCACGAAGCGATGTCGGAAATGATGCTCGTTCCCTACTGGTGGAGCACCCACGCCATGACGCGTGGTCCTTCGTCTCACATCATGGCCGACCTGGTGATGTGGTCTTGCATGCCGAAACGTAGCTCGGTGCACGTGCGAAATGGATCATACTGTAAGCCTTGGCTGATGCCATCCGGCACGAGATGCTGGAGGTTTCTATGCCACTGAGTCCAAGCTTCCGCTTTGTTTCTGCCCTGTACCATCTTCTACCTAAGCTGTTGAGTTGAGGCGTCCTCACGGGATCATCTGGATGCCACAACAGCAACTTGTCACCCATTTGCCACTCTTCGGCTCTCCATTTTTGCTTCGCTTTGATGCTGTCGCAGTTCGGCTGATGGGGAATGCTGCGGGAAGATGGAGGACGTGTCTCCCAGAGTTTGGAATCCGAGAATCTTGCCAACAAACCGAGGCTGTGGCTGTAAATGGCATGTAGTGCCCCAAGCCCCAAGGCGCTGAGTTTTTTGGGCGTTTGGGGCACTTCTGGAGAAGAGGCCTCCGTTAGCAAATGAACCCATGCGAAAGATGGCAACAGATCACCCGGAAAAATAATTGAGTCATCAACCTACATGTGATGGAGATGGTCTAGAATTGGCATCTGTGTTGCACTGCGGTCCACACCGTATCTCTTCCGGGTGTCAATGCCTTCCAGGCGACAATACCTTCATCAACCAAAGCTCCAAGAAATTGGAATAAGCCTGTTCTCCTCTGAGCGCTTGCAGATGAGTCGCCAGCGTGGGAAAGGAGCCGCCAAAACCAAATCCAACTACCACAGCTCCAACATACAGTAGAAGGTCGTTGCCACTGACTGCCGCCAGGTACAGTAGAGCTTGCCCTGAGATGCCTAGCCTGGGTGCATGGAAACATGTGCAAGGGCTTTGAGAAGCTCAGAAAGTACAAGCTTAAACAGACCACTCTTTGAATTCACGCAAGTTGTTCTTTGAGCTTGCTAGCCCCCACGCAAAGCCGACCCGGGCATTGGGGGGCTCCAACTCCCGACCGCGGAAAGGAAAACCACTGTACCGGCCCAGTAGCAGGTTACACAGCACAAACAAGAGTGTTCTGGAGGCACGTCGGCGCCGAAGCACATCGCAGGCGACACCGAAGGTCAGTCGCCCGAGCATGCTTCCAAAGTTGACCTCAAGCCAATGAACACCTCATGATCTTGGGGGGACTGGAGATGACACTTGGCACATGCGACCTTTGGCTGCCTTTGTCTTTATGGGTCCTGCGTTCGAGCTGGGCTTTGAAAACTCCACACACCGTGGGACCGTGGGACTGAAAACGTCGCGACACGTACACGTTCTCCAAAGTCTGCCAAGTTGCAAGGCAGAGGAGTGCCTCGCTTTTGTCTGCATGGCCGCTGGCAGCAGCTATCTGATACAAATTCGTGAGGACCATCTGTCCAGAACCGGCACAGGTGCAGAAGACAGCAATGTACACCCAATACTCCCAAGTCAGGACGGCCTGCTGTATGATGATGTGCGTTGACTCAGATTGCTGTCCGCGACTTGACACTTCTCCGCTTTCTTCGTGATTGTCTGGAAGGCAGGTCGACCCTGCCAAAAGCAGCACCAGCAACAAAAGGGCCAGCACGGCCAGCGACATGCTGATGGAACCCAGTGGAGACAAGCTCGATGCCGTCGCGGCGGCCGTGATCAGAATGACTGCCACCGCTGTGCGCAAGAAGACGCGCGCTTCGGATCTCGAGAAGCCTGGCTTGGCGTCCATGCACGAGGTGACGGCCAGGGTTGCAAGCGCCAGGATGCCACTGCTGTAGGCTGGAAAGAATTTCATACCTGAGTCCAAAATACTTCCTTCCTGAACAATAAGAACAAGAATAACAAAAATGATGACACCTATAACAAAAATAATAGCAGTAATAACCAAAAACCAAGAACAATAGTAATAATAGGATTTTTTTGGCCTGGTCGAGAAGTCACAAGCACATCGTTATGGGAGCTGCTCTGCAGAAGCGTTGCCCAGCATGCTTTGCCCAGGCCGCACGCCCATGAAACCGAAGTACAGTGCCGGCAGTACTGCCTTGCTTGGCAGTTGGCTCTTGAAAATTCTCGCATGCGCTTCAGCGCGCAGGCAGGGTCCAGGAGCTTAAGCACGACGTTGCTCCGTCTTTAGCTGGGCTCGGAAGCAAAAGCATTAGTCCGACAAATCAATCCAAGACGCCCCGCCGGCTCCAACACTGGCTTTCAGCACACCTTTTTGACAGCAGGTGTCTGAAACAAGCGCGCGGAAACGTCCACAGTCATACAGAGCACCATGGGGCTGAATATCTTCGATGCCCGATGTTCCCTCAGTGCTCCATGCCCCTCACCGCATCAACCGCAGTAGCTGCAGCAAGAAGTGGCCTATTGCCCAGCCGTCAGTTTGAGGAAAGACTTGCATGACCTCGGTGGGCTCTTTATAGGTCTGAAAGTGCCGGTTGAGGGTGAGACGTTCAAGTCCAAATGTCGTACAGTTTGATCAACTGATCCTTAAAACTTCGGAGTTTCCATGATTTCGTGCAAAGCGCACGCGAAACAGTTCAGATCCTCAAGAAAACATTGACGTTTTGGGAACTTAACACGAGATGCATGAAGTTCTCCATGGAACGTAGATTCCTCATTTTGAACTACTTGTACCTGCTTGCTCGCGGAGCACATTCGCAGCAACAAGCGCAGCGCCCGAAACACTCCAAGTTCGACTTTGGTGACTTCAGCCTCCAGCATGGGCCCGTGCTCTGAACACCTCCCCCCCCCTTTTCCTTCTTTGCAACTTTATTCTTCTGGGCTTCTGCCCTGCTAGCCCTTGAATCAACCTTGAATCACCCTTCAAAAAACTTCAACAAACTCAGAATGGCGCAGGGCTTGATCTTGGCTTGGGGCCAAGAGGCGCGCTGGAAAGTGGCCCCTAAGCTGGTGCCGAGCCCGGCCCAACCCACGCCGAGCAGCAGCGACATGAGCGCCGCCCCAGCTTTACCTCCCAGGTCAACAGACACGTCTCTAAAGGCATGGCAAGAGCCGTGTGTACTCTTCCAGGGAAAAGATGGCGATGTCATGCGATGTCTTTCAAAGTCACATGCAACCTTGCTCAGCTACCTCTCGCCATTTCTCGGACCTACGACGTTTTCGCGGTCCCTCTCTTAGACTCCGACGACCTCGGTGCGATTGGAGCTCCAGCTGGGGAAGCTCAGGCTGATCTCGAGAGATGTCGGTACGGCCAACCAAGAGCTTCTGCGTGCGGCCGGCATCTCACATTGAAAGATGTGTGGAAGCCTGTGTGTAGGAGCTAGACTTTCGCTTTTCTAGTCTTTTGTGCCTACTAGCAGCTCAGCAGCCATAGCAGAAACATGGGGGCAACGTTGGTTGCTAAACCTTTAGACTCGTTGACCCGTTGATCAAACCGAAAAAACACCCCCTGGCAACTCCCCACTTCTAAACCGCACGCCAATCCCGTTGCCAACCATCTCGATCATGGGCACACTTCGGCATTAAATACCTAAGGGCCAATCGTGTGAACACGCACTAGTTTACATGTTCTGGCACTCTGGCAACTTCAACCTTCACGGTCTCTGCACGCTGTCATTCGGATTTGTCAGCAGACGCACTGGTACGTGAACATGGCTTCAAGAAGCTTGAGTGACAAAGCCTCACTCCCAGCCATCATCGAGCACGTCTAATCCCGACACATGATCATCACGTGATTTCACCGAGCTTCTCACATCTAGTGGGAATTGCGGGCGATCGCCACGGTCACGGAGCCAGCTCAACAAGCCTTGTAAGTTTGGCGGCAGCTTCAGCTTCCTGACACCGCGAAACTTGGGTCGACAACAGAACGCGCAACGCTCTGCGACACAACCACATTCTGGCCCTTTGGGTTCATTTGAGCCATATGCAGCATGTTTGCGCATTGGATCGGTCAACTTCATCTTCAATGGTGAATGGTAATTGAGATCGTCGTGACGGATGCGAATTCCATAGTATCCAAATTCATGCAACAAGAGCGTAAACAGCTCGAGTTCACGCCAGGGTTCTGCATCGTTCAAGCCCAGAACAAAATCATGCCGGATGTAGATGCTATCTCGTCCAACGAAGCCGCGGATCTCTTGCAGATTTTCGACTGCGAACACTGAAGGCATGACGCCAGGTGAAGCAAATCCCCCTCCTGCCAACTGTCCAAGCACTTCCCAAGCTTTGCCTGCGAGAGTATTCAGCTTGTTGCCTTTCAGCTCTTCGAGTTCGCATACTTCTGCTGTTTGCACAGGTACTGCGTAGCTCTCGTAGATGTGAGCACCGAACCGGCTAACTGAAAGCAGCAAGCTCATTCTCGCGGTTTTATGAGGCTCTTCTGAGGACAAGACAGCTTCTAAGACCTCTGCCAGACGCTGCATGTCGGGCGGGTCGCTGCTGTATAAGTTCTCGGCATCTTCCATGGTCACATCGCATCGGCCTAGCGCTTCATCTAGCTCTTGAATGGACAGGTCCTTTCTTGCCTCCCTGCCAGAAGCTTGCGCACATTTCAAACCCATCAACCGATGATGCCATTCCAGGTTTCGCATGACAGCCGCCACGAAGTCAGGGGCATTCTTCCAGTCATCGTTGCGGCAAGTCAGTGCTGGAAGTGAAAGACATGCTGTGCGGTGTAGATCAGAACTTACATCTCGACAGAGCTGTCCCACATCTGCCACCCTACGGGGAGTCCGGGAGCGGGATCGCTTGGAAGCCATCACACTGGCGTGTTCGACGAACGAGCAAGGCCTAGTGGGATCTCGTGACTTTTAAGGCATGTGCTACATGGTAAAATCTTGGGCCTGATATGCTTGGTCAAGGTTCAGGCTTTAGGATAAAGGGCTTTGGTTTGTGCTTATGTGGACAGTTCGGCATGGAGTTTTCATGACAATAACTGTAGCAGAAAACTACGACAGTGCTCCACCTTGGCACCAGAGCCGAAACACACAGAACAACAGTAGTCCAGGAGCAAGCTTATCAGAAGTTTCGTGGCTGAAGTCTACCATAACTCCTAAACCCTAGTCCGGAGTTATGCAGAAGCTGCAGAACACCGAGCATGCCGCTTCATGACCACCATTCGTTTCCGATCCCGACACATGCACGAGCACATGGCAGAACACCACATGCACAAGCAACAGCTCACCGCCACTTCAACAACTCAAACTGCAAATGCGCATGTTATTGCCCACAACTCTGTAATGATTTTGCCCTAATTTGGTTTCAACATTTTCTATTGTATAAATATTCTAACGGACAATGTCACAAGTTGTGGTACATTTGCAACGTAGGTGTAGCCAGGAGTCTGAATCTTGGATTGTACAACTCTCAACATGATGGTCCCTTTTTGGGTACCAAAAAGAAGAGGGGCCGCCTTGTCATAAGGAACCCAAAAAGGGACCACAGTTTTGAGAAGCGGCAATATACTATAGGTTCAAGAGAATGTAACAACGTAGCACGATGCACTGTTTGTACGAATGCATTCTTCCAAGTCAACCTGGGATTGTCGCTGGTATATCATGTCGCTTGCTGCCGCTTCGTCCTTTTACAAGTCCTCTTTATGCTTTTGGGCGTCCCAATGCTCTCGAGAATGCTTGTCTAATTATCCATGAGCATCGCGAAACAAGCTCTTATACCCCATCCTCCTTGGCCTGGCAAGAGCGGCCGATACAGATTGACCACCACCAGAGTGTAGCAGCAGAGCCTGCAGATGAACCAGGATGTTGCGACAGCCCCCGCAAAAGGAACAAGCGTGTTTGCCGTGTCCAAGAATACCTCAGCGAAAGGTCAACATCCTGAAGCTCCACATCGAAACAACCCCGCAGTATCCCAAACTCCAAGATTCATTTCCCAAAGCCCAATGGGACCCCCCAGCTGCAAGGGGGATTCAAAAAAGGTTCCACCTGCAGCCTCAACCGCAACTGTCACAACATCCACTGAACGTAGGAGAAGGACCCTTTGCAAACAGGCGAGTCGATGTTGGGACAGGGTCCGAAATGGTCGCTGAGCATTCCGGACTTTGGCGACGCGAGCCCCCAAGGCATCGCGAGGACCCTCCCGGGCGGCTTGCCGTGACTTGCCACTGCATACCTCTTTCTGGAGTGTAGGCCTCCACACCCCGCAACCCAACATCTGTTTCGGGGTCTCAGACTCCCACCTGTGTCCTTTTTAAGGCTCAGGCTATGCAAGCCAAAATTCCGTCTTCAAAATCACAGAATAATACCACGTGTTCTCTCCCAACCAGCATCTCCTTCTTGGGTTTATAGTTTGCCACCCCCCACCGCCCGTCATCAGCAACATCTCCTGTTGCGGTCGGGGGCTCCCTTAGATGCCTTAGACCTCGGCAGATTTCGGCAGGGTGTAGGACCGTGTAGGATGGGTAGGGCTTCCTACCATTTGCTCCTGGCCTTCGGCCTCCTGGGCTTCTGTTTCGGAGGATTCTCGAGACCGTCCGGTAACTCGCTCCGCATTTTTCAGAGAGGCCAACGATTGAGGCCGAATCCCTGTGATTCTCGTGATTCTCCGCCCTTTTTGACAAACGTTGGGACATCGCACTTTTGGAATATTATCTCTCATTGTCTACCGGAGGCCGAAATGGGTTGCACTGTGAAATGCTTGCTGCCAAGTGGGCATGACGCAGCAGCCCAGACGTGGCCCGAGCTTCGGACCCAGCTTGTAGTTGCACACCTTAACAGCTGCTTCAGCTTACAGTAAGCACTTAGGTATCGAGTGGTTGCCTCTCTATTTGCATTCGGCAAGTCCAGGCGGAGGGTCCTTAAGGCAACACGCGTGCTCTTTGTGCATCCTTTAGGCATCTTTTGTGAACGCCCGTCCCTTCTTAGCACAGCGGGTGTCCCAGAAGTGAGGGCTCGTGCGCTTTCGTCCACCTGAGGCTTAGGGGGCTTCGGATGCCGAGGCACGCCATAGCCGAAGGAGGTGGCTGCGTAGAAGAAGAACGCAAAGTTCATCACCTGAAGCTTTCTTCAGGCTGTAGCCTGGCTGCAGCTACGCTGTAGCTTGCCCCATCATGCCCCCCATCCCAAACTCCCTAACCCAGACAGCCTTAAGGGTATGGTCTCCCCTTGAGCATGGGAAAACTTGGTGTGGCGGTTTGCTGAACTTGTCATGCTTAATGTCTATGAAAGCACAGTTCACAAGACTTCAATGACGAATGGCCATGCCTGTTAACCGTTAACCAACCTAGCACGAAGCTGGCTTTCGGGGGGCAAACTATGAATGTTCAGTGAGTATTCTGCACCAAGGAAGGTTGATAGTGTGTATGGTCGATGCCCTAGTTCACGAAAGTTGTACTCCCAACTTTACAGAAAGCGTCCCCTCCCCTCAGGGTCATTACTTGACCCAGTGATGAACTTAACGGTGTCAGTCTAGCAGAAGCGCCTAATGTTGACCTCGAATAAATAAACCCTCCCCCCCCCCCTCAATTGATTTTTGCTTCCCCCCCCGACCAGCTATTGAAAGGGGGGGGGGCCCGTAGGAAAAAACATCGCTTCTCAATTGAAGGGGTGAAAAAAACATGAGGTTAACATTAGCTATGTCCTTGCATCTTGTCAGTGCTGAGGCGTTTTTTGCTGCGAAAGCCTGCGCCTGTGCCAGTCCGACCAAAACAAGCTAGCAAACTGGATTCCTTGAACTCCGTGGGCCTTGGTAGAATTCGGTCAACAGCGCTAAACCCTAAACCCAAAACCCAAAAGTGCGCCCGCTCCCACTGCCGGCAGAGGGCCAGGTCTGCCTCGCGCAGTGTTAGCTCGAACGTCTCTTTTACCGCCGGGCTGTAGGCACTGTAGTCGTACCTGAGATGCTCTTTGTTTTTTCTGAGGCTTCAAAGACTTCATGGGTGAAGATTTGCAGCAACTTACTTACAGGCCCTGGAGTTGGTGGAGCTTCAGAGCAGGACCAACAGGACGCAGGAATAAGAAAGCACGGGGTAAGAGTAGAAGTTGTGCCAGTTCGTCACAGGCTTGAGGTCTTAGGGTCGAGGTGTTAAGGCCTGGTCAAGTCCAGGTTCACACCTCCCGATGCCATGTTGAGCGCGAGGGCGCTGGCCCAAAGATTCCAGCGCCGCTCCTGCCAACGCTTGCCGGCGCGCATGTCCATCTCGTCTTGAGATGACAGTGGCGACTACGGTCTCAATGCTTCCTTGCTGAATGACGCTCGACATGATGCCCTCGGCTATTGGACCACCTTCAGGTGCAAACTCTCGGTGTTTTTGCATAGGAACGGGATAGAGAGCCGGAAGGATCTACCTCTTGCTGGTTTGGGCTGTTTATGGCTGTTTCATGCTGCAACAAGCTGCGGCGTGCCACAGTCGGTTCATCATGACAAGCAAGTTCCACAGAGTGCCAGCAGTGCAAGCAGCATCTTCCTTTTCCTTCAACTGCCTCAGTTGGTCAGGTAATTCATGCAAGCTACGTCAGGAAATTGGTATCGCAGTGAAAGGCGACGTCTATTTGCAGAAGCTCACCCGCGCCCTTGACAACGCCCCCACCCATCCTGTGAAAATCTTCGCCGCGTTCCACTCCGACCCGGCCATGGCGCGAGAAGGGCTGTGTCGTGCTTGCTTCAAGCTATTTGAATCTGCGACTATCCCTGAGAGCAGCGTGCTGCATACCGGTCTCAGCATGTCCAAGTTCAAGTACCTCGTCCTACATGCGTGTGCTGGTGCGTAAGGGTGAGTTTGGACTGGAAGATCCGTCAGCAATCGCCGCCTGCACCTCATGTCAGCAAACTTTTGACATGTTGAAGGGCCGACACTGTCTGTTTATGTGCCATGCAAGAATTCTCTTCCTCGAGGCGGATCTTTGTTTTGGAATCCTTGCAAAGGTAACTTGCATACAGGTCCACGCACAGCTACCGCACAAAAGTGGCCAGTGAGGCAGTCCACTGACGACGGTGCAGTGCAGCCCATGGCCGTTTGGAAAAGAGGTGGCCATGACATTCTTGATACCATTACAAGGGTTGTCGAAAACATGGTATGTCGCATCAGGCATCATCATTCAAAGGCCAAAGCCGAGTGCCTCAGCCGACCTTGGTCTGATTCTTGACGGCCTCGGCGGCTGCCTTGATCTTCTCCGCATCGCCCAGGTAGCGGCCGAACTTGAGGGGCTCCACAGCCAAGGGGCTGGCGATGGGCTTGAGGTCGGCATCCAACTCGTACACCAGGGGCGTGCCGGTGGGAATCTCAAGGCCCGGAATGACGTCGTCCGAGATGCCCTCGATCATCTTGACGATGGCGCGGATGGAGTTGCCGTGGGCAGCCACAAACACAGTCTTGCCCGCTTTCAACTCTGGAGCAATTGTGGACTCCCAGTACGGCATCACACGAGCAATCGTGTCCTTCAGGCACTCAGTGTCTGGCACCTCCTTGGGATCCAGTGCAGCGTACTTGGGCTCGTGGCAAGGGTGGTACTTGCTCTCCTTTTCCAAGGCTGGCGGGGGGATGTCGAAGCTGCGTCGCCAGATCTGAACTTGCTCCGCGCCGTGCTTGACGACCGTCTCCTTCTTGTCCAAGCCTGTGAGGCCACCGTACATGCGCTCGTTCAGGCGCCAGGACTTGTTCACGGGGACGTAGAGCTGATCCGCCGACTCCAGTGCCAGGTTGCAGGTCTTGATGGCACGCTTCAGGAAGGACGTGAAGGCGATGTCGATTTGCAAGTTCTCGGCCTTCAGAAGCTCACCCGCGCCCTTGGCCTCGCCCAAGCCCTTCTCGGAGAGGTCCACGTCCACCCATCCGGTGAAGATGTTCGCCACGTTCCACTCCGACTCCCCGTGGCGCGAGAAGACCAAGGTCGCGTGCTTCGACATCCCTCCGCTAAGGCTGCAAAAGTTGTTCGGTTATGGGCTTTGCTTTAAACAGTTTGCTCGAGCAGAAAGCCGAGAGATGATTGGCGTGCATCAATCCGCTGCTTGGGCTTCGTATGGCAACGTCTCCCTTCAGAAATTGCATGACATCCGCTCAGTTTCGTTTTACGCATCTGCCGCACTTCCTGGCTGGGGGTATCGGCTCAGAAGGTAACGTCCCTGGAGGACAAGGCCTGGAGGGTGCTTGTGGGGAAAGGGGGGGTCAATGCACAGTAACGTGCAACACAGGAAACACATCACTTTGACTCCGGTGGAAAAACTGCGCAGCATGTGACATATAACATAAAGCATATGACATTAACAACATGCAATGCAAAAAGTAAACATAACACATGCAACACATGATAAACAATATATATATATATATATATATCACGTAACATACAATATTATATTGTATGTTACGTGATATATGTTGGGGCTGGAGGGGCTGGGGCGGAGGGGCTGGAGGGGGGGCTGGAGGGTGGAGGGGCTGGTGGGGGGGCTGGAGGGTGGGAGGTGGGAGGGGCGGGTGGAGGGGCTGGAGGTGGAGGGAGGGGCGGGGGTTTGGCACCCGAACCGAACCGAACCGCAAGCCGCAGCGAACCGCTTGAACCGGAACCGTTCCAAAGTATGTACCCCGAAACCGAAACGAACCTACACGAACCGTGGCCTTACTGAATATAGCACAAATACAAAAACACAACATGCGACATACGACTCAAACGAACAGGAAATTGATGAGGTTTATGTGTGTTCCACGACTCAAACTCGTTTGGGGCCCAGGTAACTTGCGAGGCTTTCGTTCCAGGACTCAGAAACAGCTTGAGCCCAGGTAACTTGCGAGGCGCTCCAGGGACACTCGCACTCCGGGAATGTCGAGTAGGGGAGAAGCACTTGTCGGAACACTCACCTAACAAGAAAAACAGACCACACCTTCGGACAAGTTGAATACCACCTTGCAAGAATGCCTTTGCCAAAGCCGACGCAGAACAACACCTTGCAAAGCACCGAAAGCTGCGAAATCTTTAAGACATCAGAACAGAATCGTAAAGACAAACAACATCGTAGAAATGCAAACCGAAGAAACACATCAGACCAACAAAGCTTAAAAGGAACCACACCTTAGACAACAACAACAACAACGCCTTGACAAACAACTTAGAACAGCCGAGAAACCAACACCACAGAACCAACACAAACTCAGAAACGCTGTACTTGCAAACACACAGAGACACTAGCTTGGAAAACGCATGGGAACATACCTTTTAAACAACATGTACAAAGCGTATTAACCAGAATCGTGCAACACCTTAGAAGAACTGCCTCCGAAAAGCTTAGAACAACACAAGCCGCTTCGTCCAAGAGGTGCCGATTTGGAACACGCTTTCGCGCTCCAACTGGACACTTTGGGTGCCCCATTCTGCTTGTAGCGCACGCAACCGCCCTAACAATACAGAGCTAATTGATGGCGCTTTGTCTGCTAGAAACTTAAACCAAAGAGTGTGTGTTTGTCAAGAGAAAAAAGCAGATTCCGTGACTGTCTTGTGCAGTGATTTCGAATCCCCCCCCCCCCCCTTGGCCGGCCTCGTGCCTCCAAACTTTCCTTGAGGCAGCTCCACACGCCTCACCCACTCTTCTTCACGCTCACGATCAGAGGGCCGACCTCAGCCATGTGGCAGATGCAGCATCTCTTCTGAGGTCATAAGCAATTTTAAAAGCCCTGAACACAGGTGAGGCGCCCATCTCCTGCCCTCTACCCGCCCTCTCGACCGCTTGCGGGCGTGTTCGTTGCAGAAGCCTTCATTCGTGGCCAGCTCAACCAGGCTTGTGACACTTTCGCGCGCTATCCCAGGGCGGTAATCGGTGTGCACATCATGTTGGCGTGATGAAAAGGACGGTGACGTCTGTAGAGTCAAGGGTCCAAGAGCTCTTGGTTCGAACCTCCATGTGCCAAACACTAGGCAGCGAAGGTGCATTGTCTCCGGTGGCTTCGTTGTGTTTGGCATGGGTCCCATCCTCACATGCGGCAAGCTGTTGGGAAGCCCCCCATGAACCCCAGACCCTTCAAAGTGCGCTAATCATCCGTCACGCTGCAGATCACAGATCAGACCCCTGGGCAACCAGTACCCTTAATTCAGTTGTTGTTTAGGGCAGCTGGGATTCCGAATTCCACAAACCTGGGGTTGCCAACAATACTGTACCGAGGATCGCAAAGCGGGAATGTGCCGGAAAGCCAGCAGCGGCAGTAAACTTTCTTGTCGCCCGCTTTCAAGTCCTTCAAGGGGCAAGCCTGAACCTAAACACATCTTTCCCCAAGTTGGCAGCTAAGCGTTCCTCTGATGCCCCCTTCGTGCTCTTGCAAGGACTGAGGCGCGACGGGGCTAATATACCCTTTGCTGCAGCCTGAGAACAGTATGACCGGAGGAGGGATTGCTCCCAAACACTCTGGCATGGATCACTTTAGCATCAACAAATCCTCGAGGCTTCTCGGCTTGCAGCACTGCAAACTCAAACCTGCACCAGCCCAAACTGAAACTCCCTCAACATGAGATGGACGCTTCAGAGGCACAGGGTCGAACGGCTTTCTGACATTATTCGGTGATGTCGTGGGAACAGGTGCTGGTAGGGCTTGGGGTGTAGAGGCACTTCAGGTGTTGCTGCGCAAAGGAGTGGGGCAGCGTCATGTAATCCATGACGCAGGGCCACCAAGATTCCAAGGATAACACACAAGGCTCGAAATGATCAGCCGCCAACTCTACAACCTTGCCGGCTGGCAAGCAGCCTCTATATCTTGTCGTCACATCTGCAAGGTTCTGGAAACTTGTGCAGCCCTTTACAAACTGTTAGGGCTCTGCACGCCAAATCCGCAGAGGGTGCATCTCCTCCTTGGTGACAACTTTTGGCCTCGGTGGAACTCTCCGGGAAATCGGGCATGGCTTGTTTTGGAGGCTACTGCGGATCGATATCTGCCGATGGACATAAACGGCATGAAGGTGCAATCTCTCTAGCTGCTGTCAGTAAAACTACAGAGACCGTATCATGGCCGGCTTGCCTTTTTGCTGCATGACCCTAATATTTCTTCCACAACACGGGAGTGTTATTGCAACACGCTCTCTAAAACTAGCTGGTGGAGCTAATATGAACCATAAGAACCGAACCAGAAGCGTGAGCGGAAAACGAGATTTAGGGGCCCAGTGACCCCGCCATCTCAAATCTTGAGGCAGGCGCGTCTGAAGCAGAACTTGAGAGTTCAAGTCTAGTCATTCATGGCTCCAGCCTTTGGGATGCTGTCCAAACTCCCAAATCAAGGCACCTGCAGCACTTGTACCTCTAACACCCCAACCACACATCCCAAAACGAATGAACATCACAAGCCCGCCCCTGCAATCCGCCTTGAAGAAGAAACCTCTGTCTGCACTCGGGTGGCACTTCGGGGTCGATCTTGTTGTTGATCTTTCCCTCGGCCTTGCCTTTCGAGGGGGAAGCTCTTGGGACTTTGGGATTGCTTCCTTCGGGGTTGGGGAATCAGAGCTCGAAGGATTTAAGGACCAGCTTGCGCTTGTCTCACTGAGGCCAGGAAATGTGGGATGTCACCCTAAAAAAATCTCTCAAACACACCCTAATCGAGCCCGCCTCCCCATTTGCTTTCGTGTAGGTTGAACATGCGTGTTAATCAAACAGAGAGAGTCAGCCCGAAATTTGTGCAACATAGAAAATGTAATGTATAATTTCTAGTAGAATATGTAATATATATATATACTGTATAATATATATATATATAATATTATATAGAATATATCATGTAATATTTTATATAATATACAAGATGCAATAAACAATATGTAATGTGTAATTTCTAATACATAATATGCAATATATAACTTCTAATACATAATATGCAATATATAATATATAATCTATAGTATAAATAGAAATATGAATATGAAAAATACATTAATAAATGAATAAATAAACTAAATAAATAAAGACATAAGAATAAATACAATATATATATATATATATATATATGCTTGCAGGCCCAGCGACGTGCAGTGCGAAGCTGCCGGCCCGCCAGCACCTCACAGCTCTCTCTCTCTCTCTCTCCACTATTAATTATAATTCATTATGAAGTAATCATTGAGAAACTAGCAATTCATAATTATTAATTAATCAGCAGTTGATTAAACCTTCAACACCAAAACCCCAAAATACGAGCAAAGGACTATGGACGTCCACAACAAACCAGAGGCCAAACGCCATTCTCTATCCTTGCTTCCTTCCTTCCAGCGAACATGGTCCCCGAAGGGACCGGCCCAAGGGGCGTGCGTAGCCGGGTTCGTTGGTGGAAGTGTGTGCACGTCTCCAGTTTCAAGCCAAACAACCTCAATAAATGACTACGCGACAGAAAGTGAAGAACCGAGACGGACGTGCAAATAGCGCCTGCTTTGGGCTGGGGATAGGGGCAAAAAACACGCGTGGTGTGTACTGACCGAGATTGAGACAGGCACCGCGCCCCCCATTCTTTCTCTCTCTCTCTCTCTCTCTCGCTCGCTCGCTCGCTCGCTCTTCCTTGCGTAGCTCTTCTTCTTCTTCTTCTTCTTCTTCTGCTGGGCTTGAAGGCCCGAAGGCCCCCGCGCGCGAGCGCGTCCGAAGTTCCGGTCTTTCGTGAAACTTCCCCCGTGGTGCTGTGAGGCTCGGAGCTTTCCCAAAAACATCCCCCCTCTATAAACTATGATAAGCCTCGTTTTGCTTTCCTCCTCAGGGCGTTTCCCCTCTGCACCTTTCCGGGTTCTATGGTACTTGTTGCTCCCCAGTCCTTTTCACTAAGGAGGCTGCTACCCTGAACCCCTAAACTCTTTGAGCCCAGCACCAAGAAGCCAGCTGCGCCGACGGCAAAGCCGAAGGAACCGCAGTTTGCGTCGAAGCGGGGCTGAGGGCGCGTGACGCCGCCTGGTCTCCATGGTTCCATGTTTCATAATGCTGGGGTTCATGTGGGAGTCTTACCAAAGGTGGGTTTAAGGTTTAGGGTTTAGGGTTTAGGGTTTCCGGTTTCGATGCACTCCCATGCTCCCTTCTGCCGGCCTTCCGCTCGCGGGGCGCTTGCAACGGGGCTGCTGGGAGTGAGGAAGCACATCCCCCTGAGAAGGCTTTTGTGGCTTTTGTGTGGAGTTCGGCATGGTTTAACCTTGCATGGCCCTAAGGGTTATATAAACCCTAAACCCTAAAGCCTAAACCCTAAAGCCTGAACCATACAAAGAACCCTAAACCCTAAACCCTGAGGGTTACTAAAGGTTGAGGATGGGGCGCACGAAAGTGCTGGACGGCAATCAGGCGTTTTTAAATACATAAAGTCTTCTAGCACATTTTTCGCGAGGATCTGCTCCAGAATGGGAGGTTGGCTTTCTTTACATTGCACTCAAAGTTTTTGACGAAGCAACAAGAGGACAGGCTTCAGGAGCTGGGGAACTGATGCTGACATAGGCAAGTCAACAGCGGCACGGTCTCCAACTGAAAGCATGACGTTGTTATGAGCCTCAAGCCACTGGAGGCCCAAATAGCATGCTTTCTTGGGAGGTTGGAACAAGCATGTCCTTGCATCCGAGATGCATCATACCGGCAGCCACGAATGCAACTGCCTCATCTCACGCGACTTTCAGGGCTCAGTTGTAAGAAGCGGCCCCGAGTCAGGGGATGCAGGATGAATGTCACAACTTTACGGGGAAACGACGCGTTTGCCATGCCACCCGGTAGTCAAAACATGGCTGCTTCTTAACCGTAAGCCTGAAGACCCAAAGCCTCTGTCAAGCCCGCCAAGACCCTCGGATGGACCTGAACCTTCAGCCTGTGGGAATAAGTCCCCGTGAAGCTGACCAAGTATGACACAACGCAGACTTCGACGCTATTCCCTTAAGAGCTCAGAGCTCACATGCCCAAGCCCGTGCTAGACCCCTTGCGCGGCAGGGCCCGATTGAATTCTTGCAGCCATCTTGCTCCATGTCGTGCCATATTGCGAGTGGCAAGCAAGCTCAGTGGGCTCAACTGGAAAGCCGGACAAGCTCGGGCCACATTGGCCAGACGGATCAGCCATGACTCCTCAGCTTGAAGGAGTTCATGCTCCCGTGAAGCAGGTTCGTGCAAGGCCCCGAAGTTCTTGCCGTAAAGAAGCAGGGCTACATGTAAAGGATAACGCTTGAGTGCAGCATGTCCCATGCATGAACCCACCCTCGAATGCCTCATGGCAGGCAAGCCCGAATTTTTCTCTCGGATGAGCATGCCACCTGCAGGACAGCGCTTAGGCCGACTTTGCTGGCCTGCGCCCCCTTCCGTCGAACCCTTTGCTACAAGCTGGATGCATCTCGGATCTACGCCCGTTTATTCCGCGTGTGCTCCTACGCAGCACCCCCGACTCACCCCCCTCACCCCCCTCACCAGAGGCCAGCTCCTCTCAAGGGATCCAACGCTTTTTTGCAGCGCTACCTGTTGTGCAGCGCTCAGCCGGCGATCAATGATCCTTGGCCGGAGCCCAGCAGCGTGCGCTAACCCGCAAAGCCCCAAAGCCTAGTCAAAGGCCTCAAAGTTTGCCTCAAAAGGGCTAACCGCATAACTTGCCCACAAAGCCCTAGACGAGTTTAAGGCTCTTAGTTCAAGGCGCCATTAAACGGAACAAATCCTAAGCCCTACCCTGGGTTTTACTTCCTGATGTGGGGCTCGGGATGTGGATCAGCTCCTTGTGCAACCTGCCTAGCTGCAGGGCTGTAAGGCAGAAAAAAAAAGCACAACTTGGCAGTTGCTGATGGCAGGAAAAGGGGGGCTTGAGAAGTACAAGTGGCGACCACAATACATATCTGAGACTGGCCATTTTTTGTATGTCGTGATCGACTCTAGACCTTGATGTCTGAAGATCAAGAGTTGCGGGCGCGTTGCTTGCAGATCTGCCTCCAAAGCGGCCAAGCATGTTCAGCCTCAGGGTTGATCGACTCCAGGGGTCACATTTTGCAGATGCAACCCGGTGTCAGGCCACATGCAGGCCGATGCGGACATGTGGCGTGGCAGTGCCCCCCGGAAAGTGTGCCGCAATGAAGTACAGGAGCGACACGAGCTGCACGACCTGGAGGTAAGAGCATGGGCGGAGTTCATCGACGAGCGCAAGCTGCAGCAGGGAATCGTGTGGCCGAGAAGCTCCGAAAATGGCGGTGAAGATGTAACTCCGCCGAATCAGCCTCATGTGGTAGCGTGAAGCCCAAGCCCTGAGCACAGAAGGTTCTTGCATGTTCTTCTTGCCGCTTCTTGCCCATGCCATGTCTTCGGCCGAGGCGCGTGGCCCAAAGCGTTCCGAGTAAACCGGTAACGTAGGCAATGGCATAAGGCAGCTTCCTTCGCCTGGGCGCTTCTGGGTGTTGTAGGGGCACGCAACTAATTTGGTTATAGTAACAATAACATACTCATGGATACCATATTGATGATAATATAGTATTCATATTGTTTATGAGGGGTGCTGATGCCTTCTCAGCCTCACGACATCTCACGGCTAACACGCCAATTGCCCAAGAGATTGGCACCGCTGTCCAGCTAAAGACGAAAGAGCCAAGCGTCTGTGAAATCTGCTCCTTAGCAAGAGCAAGTCCCCATTCAAGATCGGTGGACGCTTTATGCCTATCATACATCAGAGCCATGTCGGCCGACTCCATCATCAGCTCTCCCTCTAGGTCTGAGTTCGGCGCCAGAAATGCCTCAGATGTCGAAAGCGACAGGCGAAGCAACTGGGCAGCAACGCAAACTCCCCCCCGAAGCACAGCTCAACTTGCAACTTGGCCATCCGAAAGCCTGGCAGAAACCATGTCCACTTGGGCAAGCGTGAAGTATCATTGACTGCAACGGTCGAACACCTACACAGCGCCCACCTTGGGCAGCATGGTGGTTGCTCAAGAATCGCGGGGATGAATCTTCGGCTCTAAGGGTACTGGGAACTTGGGAACACTCTCGCCTGTGATCTCAAAGCTTCGTGCTTGGGCGCCCGTCATGAAACGGAATAGCCCTCACTTAGTGCCCTCCAAAGCCTCTCGGCCCGGTGATTAAGGAGACAGAGCAGGGAGCAAAGGGGCAAAGATCATGCCAAGAAACTTGCCAGCCACTCCTCGGATACCAGGACAGACAGAACAACCCTATTTTGGCCGGGTTTCCGTGGATCAAAGATGCTTTTGAAAGGGGTTGAGGGTGGGTTCCAGGGCGGATTGCTTCATAGGCACCAGGCCTGTTCTCGCCTTAGATACATGAAAATGCACGTCACCCAACCAGAAACGAGGTCGTGCAGTTGCACGTGCATACCAGGTGGATGAGTTCTGCCACTCGGTCGCATGCCCCAAACTCAAGTGTTTTACACCAGCGGGTCATCTGAGATCTTGCTGGGCCTTCTCCCTACTAACTTGACACTTTCTCTTTGCCAGCAGGCGAGTTCGTGATAGCGCCGCAACCCCAAGAACAGTTCTCTTATAAGGCATCGGTGGCCAAATTTCCTCGAGACGCGCATAGTTCCGGCATTTCAACTCAAACCCACCACATCCCAACGAGAATACTCCTGTCGCCGCCATGGGGCAGGTAAACGAAGGAAGCCAGCATAAGAATTGAGCCGACTGTCGACAGCAAAGAAAAGGTCGCCCTGAAGCCGCGAGGACCGCTCTGCGAGGACTGCGAGTACTTGACCCGGCTTAAGCCCCTCTTGTCTCTTCTTGCTTTTGCGCGTCAAGTGCAATCCGACTGTCACTTTGTTTACGGCGGCTCACCCTGAAGTAAGCTTGCTTGGGCTCAAGGCTTGACAGGCTCGACCTTCCTAAGCTTGTCTGGCTGGCTTGCAGCACACAGGGTTTCGAAACACCAGTGCCCGTTGGTTCTGAAGCTCGGGGTATTGGCTGGGAGTTAGAAGCAATTGTCTCCGGAGCTGGAAGGGGACAGGAAGGGCCCTCAAACTCCGAAAATGCCGAAACTCTGGAACCTGAACTGTTGAAAGCATAATCCTCACAGTGGATGCCAGGTTGCGGCATTAGCCAGAAGTTCAAGGAGAAAAGCACCTGACGAAGCAACAGCGAAGGTAGCGACCCATCCCATGGGGGTGGTTCTCCATGTTTCAAAGGCAGAAAGCCCAAGAAAACACGGAACAAAGGGGCTTTACATGGCTTTCCCTGCAACATCAACAGGTTTTCGACAGACTTGCAAGGCGCAAAGGCTTGAAGGTGCATCACTCATTCTGTTCTCTTCGCCCCTTTGCTCCCCTAGAGATCACACACATCCTGAGCTTAGAAGTGCTGTTGTTTCATGAAGCTTACATACTTGCCCCTGGACGAAGGCCATCTTGTAGGAACCGCAACTATTAGTCAACTACTCCACAGAAGACTCTGGGCAGAAAGAGGCACTAAACGCACACACAGCTAGGATCTCAAGAAGATAGTCCAGGTGAAGTAGCCCAGGAAGGGATGATAGTAACATGGCGGATTGCCAGGGTCCCGACACCCCGCCCCATATCTGCACTGACTAAGCCCCCTGAGCATGGCTCCAGGAAAAGGCCGGACGCGAACATCGCCACGAATCTCCAGAGTCTGCAAGGATCCTTGGGTTCATGAGGAGTTGTGTGTGCTCTCGCGACGAAGCAAAACGCCCCCAGGCAATCTACAAGGTCGAGGCCACCCCAAGCACACAAAACGAAACCCAGAACAACAGGGCGGGCAGTCCACGAGGTACCCTAAGCCTGAACCCTAAACCCTCTATGGTCGAGGCAATGAAGCGAAGCACTGAAGCCACACAACATCCATCTGTTGGGATGTTCTCCCTTATACTACGAGTAACATTCCTTAATAGGGATTATCGTACCCCCGCATTGTGATCCCCATTAAGGGCTGCTCGTACAAGGGTATTGTGTTTCCCAAAAGAAGCCATGTTGATAGGAACACGAGCTGGCTTTCAAAGAGTCGGGGCCCGAGACGTGCTGTGCTTGTTCTCCGGGGGACTTCTGACTACTATATGACACGCCACGTCCAACAGGACAGCTGCCACTTTGAGCATGTAAAGGTAAACAACGACGAGGATGGCGACTTTTCGCTGCCAGTTTTGTGATTTCAGGGTCCAGATGTCGAGGACGGGCGA